ACCTACCTAACCAGATGGCCCAAACAGACATAAAATTAGCCGTTTTTCAATCTGTCAAAAGTACCCAGTTCACAACACTCATTTAAACAGGTTGATTCATTGGCATGTGCAAAATAACATGATGTTTAATGTCTACATCATCAGATAATGACCTTGATAATGGGCACTTCGTGACATAACAAGCTCGATTAACATATGTGTGAATCCAGGCCCTCCTATTGGCTATCACATAGCAGAGACAATTTGTGTATTCCTAATTTGTTATTATATATTCCCTTATTTGAAGAGGGCATTGGTGGAACATGGCAACTGTTATAAGAGCTACAGGTAAGTAGTAACATTATAATCTTAGGTAATGAAAGGTATGCATAGGAATGTTTTACGATTCAATTTACAAAAGATAATCAGTGCTAAAGATCAAATTGAAGGACTGGTCCAAATAACAATGCTTGATTTTTACACTTCACATATTAGACTGGGTTGTTTCTAAGACTGCAAAAGAAGAAACATAAAAAAAAATGCATCAAATATAAACGTCAGTGTAATACACTTTGTCTTGACATATCAGCAGTCTCATAAATCGCAAATTCATTGCAGCAAAACAACTGTGATATTGTCTTTTTAGATAATCATTTTCAGTTAGTCAACCTCAGTGTCTAAAGATCTGATTACACAGTAGGCGTATTAAGTATTTGGCAGAACTTGGCTTTAAATATTTTGAACAAAATATGTCAAATATTGTTTTTTGGTTCACTGCTGTGTAAACGGGGTCCAAAAAAAAAATCACACCTAGTAATAAAGCCATGAAAATGTTTGCATTGTTTTTATTCAAATATACACTATTATGTTGAAAAGTTTGAGGTCAGTTAGATTTTGTATTATTATTTATTTTCAATAAATTAATATTTTTACTCAGGTAGGATGCATTAAATTGATCAAAAGTGACAGTAAAGACAGGTATAATGTTACAAAAAAAATCTATTTCAAATAAATGTCGTTCTTTTAAACTATCTATTCATCAAAGAATCCTTAAAAAATGTATAACAGTTTTCACAAAAATATTAAGCAGCACAACTGCTTTCAACATTAATATAATAAGAAATGTTTCTTGAGAATCAAATCCACAAATTAATTTTTTGTCTGAAGGATCATGTGACATTAGAAAACTAATTTCTGCTGAAAATTCAGCTTTGCCATCAAAGGAATAAATTACATTTGAAAATATATAAACAGAAAACAGTTATTTAAAATTGTAATATTTTATATGTGTTTTACTGTATTTTTGATTAAATAAATGCAGTTTTAGTGAGCATACATCTTTCAAAAACATTTAATTAAAAGAAACAGAAAATTATTTCTGACCCCAAACTTTTGAATGGTGTAGAGTATATATATTGGGATTTCCTCATTGCATATTTGTGACAGACAGCACAGGTCATTGTGTCACTTTGCTTCTCAATTTATTTTTGGTGCCTTAATGTGAGAAATATTCCACATATGTGTCTCCACATGGAGTTCTGGAATAAATAACAATTCTATGCATCCTAGATAAACTTATGATGGACAATTCTCCACTGAGGTATAAGTTGTCAGACATGTTTTCTTTAGTACATGGTTTGATTTGAATCATATGTGTTGCCATTCCTAATGTAGTCCAGATGATATGTGCAAAAATTGAGGTGATATGTTAACTTTTTCATAAAAGCATTAAACTTGGTACAGTTGTACAGGTTAGGGCCCTGAACATTTTCAGAAATGGAGCCATCACAAAAACACCTTGTGGTTTACATGGCGACAATTTTATTTTCCGCCATAACCAAATTATGTATTTTGTGTCATATCTCCTGAACCAAACATGATAACAAAGAAAAGGTGATGTCTACCCCTATGTTTTGATGGTCAAGGATTACAATGCAACAATACCATTGTAGCATTTGGACCAATCAGACACGTAACTTTTTGTTATATTTAACAAATAATATCTAACGCCCCCTCACCTAACCAAAGGGCCAATTACGAGGGTCTATGGACCCTTCCCCCGAAATGCACCTAACACCTCAGAAAGGCAGAACAGGCCTCTGTTTCCATGG